CCCCCCCCCTAAATCCGCGCCTGATGTTACAGTATGCTAACTATACGTCCAGTACATCTCGCTAACATTTGTCCACGAAACTGTTGATGACGAGACCGTTTGCTTACCGTTGTCATTAGCATGTTACATGTAACACTGTCTGTTTATCTTTATCAATGAACCTGTTAACATTATTTGCTTGCCTTTACCCATGAACCTGTAAATACTGTGTGCTTACCTTTACCATTGAACCTGTATATACCGTGTGCTTACCTTTATCCATGGACCTGTCAATACTGTGTTCTTACCTTTATCCATGGACCTGTCAATACTGTGTGCTTACCTTTATCCATGAACATGTAAATACTATCTGTTTACCTTAACCATTGAACCTGTAAATACTGTGTGCTTACCTTTATCCATGGACCTGTAAATACTGTGTGCTTACCTTTATTTATGGACCTGTAAATACTGTGTGCTTACCTTTATTTACGGAGCTGTAAATACTGTGTGTTTACCTTTATTTACGGAGCTGTAAATACTGTGTGTTTATCTTTATTTATGGACGTGTAAATACTGTGTGTTTATCTTTATTTATGGACGTGTAAATACTGTGTGCTTACCTTTATTTACGGACCTGTAAATACTGTCTGCTTACCTTTACCATTCAACCTGTAAATACTGTCTGCTTACCTTTATCCATGAACCTGTAAATACTGTCTGCTTACCTTTATCTAAGGACATGTAAATACTTTTGCTTACCTTTACCCTTGCACCTGTAAATACTGTCTGCTTACCTTAACCCTTGAACCTGTAAATACTGTGTGCTTACCTTTACCATTGAACCTGTAAATACTGTGTGCTTACCTTTATCTTTATCCATGGACCTGTAAATACTGTGTGCTTACCTTTATCTGTTGACCTGCAAATACTGTGTGCTTACCTTTACCCTTGAACCTGTAAATACTGTGTGCTTACCTTTATCTGTTGACCTGCAAATAGTGTGTGCTTACCTTTACCCTTGAACCTGTAAATACTGTGTGCTTACTTTAATCCTTGAACCTGTCCCGCAAACCCTTCAAGGCAAACACACGTGCATGTTTCATTGTTTAGTTGGCCGCTATTTTCGCAGTTGCTTGTATTGCATGCTGCAGTAAAATGTAAATCACATCAATATTCCAAAGCGTCAGCTTAAAAATAGAAAATAAACACCAGAAAAGGAAGGAATACCAAAATAAAATAGAAAGCATAATGAAACTTCACGAATAAAGCAAAACCAGGTGTTCCGTACGTAATAATGTTTCCAGTCTCATATGTGATTCCAGTCATTAATTCCAGGTAGCACAGATCAACTAGCATTGTGCATCAAGATCCCAATGCCTTATTTCAAAATAGATGATGGTTTGCAAGACAGCTATATTCAAACATCTCAAACGCGCATTGTGAATATTTTTGGTCGACAGTTTGATGCATATCATCAAAAATGTAAAAAAAAAAAAAAAAAAAAATCCTTATGTTTACCCTGAAATATTACTGGAAATGATACTTTTACCACTTCTTTAAGTTCCTTGTACAAACGACAAACTGTAAAACCAAATGCCGTAAGTGTCCTTTTCACAGTAACAAGACGTATTTTTTTATTGTTACTATTTCCGTAAGACGACAAAAGTAAGTTTTGAAACAATGAAGGTATTGTCGTCAAAGTTTGAATTTGTCGTCTGGACGTGATTGGTCGCCGATTACGCAAACAGAATGAAAGAAAGACCTCAAAAGTAAGAGACTGGAGAACATTTGCGTATAATACTTCTTGCTATTATTGTTTGTTTTCTTCTAGAATCCATACAACGCGAATTTGTATATATAATAGCCAACCCATTAATACAAAAAAAGTCTTTGAAACTCACCATCAATAACAAAATATATTTGGTTGAGTCTAGTAGAAGATGATTGTCAATGTATTCTAATATTATTTGATGTCATATAATTTTGAGATTTCCCTTGATATATCTTTATCGCAAACACTATTTTATTGAAT